AAATGCTGGTTTTTTAAGTGCTGCTGCAATTTTATTGAATTCTCTTTAAAATCAGCCTAGAAATTTTTATCAATTTGAAATCTTACATGCATGTCAAACACAGATAATGCGTCAGTCTGAACAAAGTTCGTGAGAGCTAACAACTGATATTGTTTTGTCTCACTAAAAACTAAGAGAATTACGAGGCCAAACTGTGCATTCTGTGCATTGTAAGCGGATTCCGCAACAGGTCCAAATACGATTTGTCGCGGAATCCACATCATTGCTACTTTTCTTTGATCTTCGTTGCTGTTTTGGATTCCACAAACAAATACCTAAAACACTGTACCGTTCAAAATTGCTCGAAAATAGGCGACTTTGCATAATCCGCATCCGTATTTGCGGAATCCAGAACAATTTGTGGAATCCACACACAAATAACGAGACTTGTGTACAGTTGAATTGAGCTGTTGCGGAATCCGAAACTGTAAGCGAAATCCGCAAACTGTAAGTGGAATCCGCAAACTTTATGTAGAAACTGCATTTTGTTTGCAGATTCCGTTTACATATAAGTATGTGTAGTAGCTTTTAAAACTGTATCTTTTCATCACAACGTTGATCAGCTTCTTGTTGGAATGGCAATTTTTTTTATCTCAATTCCTGTCAAACAAAAAACTTCGATCTCAAATCCTGTCAAACGTGCCCAACTTCGATCTCAATTCCTGTAATCAATTTCAATTCCTGTAAACTTATTTATCAACAAAACTGCTCGTATAATCGAATGTTCCGACTGCCTTTTAAGGCATATGAAACAGTATTAACATGAAAAAATTAAATGTAAAAAAAAGATAATAAAATAGGAAAAAAAATTGTAAAAAGATTTGAGATTTTTTTTGTGAAAATCATCCCCCCACACGCCATAAAGTACAAAGTGATAAATTTCGCTTCTAGTAACAAACCAATTATGGCAAAAAAGCTTGTTTCAACCAATTTGGTACGATTTTTAGGACGGATTAAATCTCCGCTTACGCGTTAAAAGCGCGAAATATATCGCGCGTTAATTGTCCCAAATTGACAAAATGGCAATCTTTAAACCCCCACAACTTTACGAAAAATAACCATAGGTGAAATATCTTTTCGAATTTGAGCTCAGGACAACAATAATTTTTGAATGATATAAACAAATTCCGTCAAAAATGGCTAGTTAAAAAGTCAAAATTTGTCTGAAGAAAAAAAATCCACCCCGAGCACAAATATTCCCTTACTTTTGTATCAAAATTCGGAACAATAATGTTTTCAGCGACTTTCTCAAGCATGAATGAATTTCTAGCAAAAAATTGGCCTGAATAACGAAACATTCAGATCTCTAATTCTCAATACTGAGAGAAGTTTTTTTTGATTATTTTTTTTGAAATCCAAAATTCGGCACAAAGCATGCCAATGGGATATAAAACTTGGCACCCTATGTGCTTGGTACCCATTGTGCGCAATTTCACACCCTTGAGGCAGTGAAATTGCGCACAAAATATACAATGCAATATTAGCTATTTCCACTTCGTCCAGAGTGATTTTTTGAGGGCGGAAACTGTAAAAAAAAAGTCAAAGTTTTTGTGCTAATTTTCAATCAGCCAGCAGTTATTGCTCAACTGCTGGTTTTTTAAGTGCTGCTGCAATTTTATTGAATTCTCTTTAAAATCAGCCTAGAAATTTTTATCAATTTGAAACCTTACATGCATGTCAAACACAGATAATGCGTCAGTCTGAACAAAGTTCGTGAGAGCTAACAACTGATATTGTTTTGTCTCACTAAAAACTAAGAGAATTACGAGGCCAAACTGTGCATTCTGTGCATTGTAAGCGGATTCCGCAACAGGTCCAAATACGATTTGTCGCGGAATCCACATCATTGCTACTTTTCTTTGATCTTCGTTGCTGTTTTGGATTCCACAAACAAATACCTAAAACACTGTACCGTTCAAAATTGCTCGAAAATAGGCGACTTTGCATAATCCGCATCCGTATTTGCGGAATCCAGAACAATTTGTGGAATCCACACACAAATAACGAGACTTGTGTACAGTTGAATTGAGCTATTGCGGAATCCGAAACTGTAAGCGAAATCCGCAAACTGTAAGTGGAATCCGCAAACTTTATGTAGAAACTGCATTTTGTTTGCAGATTCCGTTTACATATAAGTATGTGTAGTAGCTTTTAAAACTGTATCTTTTCATCACAACGTTGATCAGCTTCTTGTTGGAATGGCAATTTTTTTTATCTCAATTCCTGTCAAACAAAAAACTTCGATCTCAAATCCTGTCAAACGTGCCCAACTTCGATCTCAATTCCTGTAATCAATTTCAATTCCTGTAAACTTATTCATCAGTTCATTTCAACCCATTCAAAAAAAATTTCAATTTGGCCATTTTGAAATATTTTCAAAATGCGAAACCAGAACACAGTTTAGTAAGTCAACATTTTCAAGACTACATATTGGTGTTTTTGATCTTAAACTTTAGTTCTGCTGTAGTTCAAGTTTTGGTAAATTTTATCTAAAACTAATTTACTCAAATTAATTATCTAGACCATTTACACCCAGTGAACAAAATGATTTGAATTCACGCTCCCAAATACTGAATCTCAAATACAAAATCCCAAATACTGAATCTCAATTACTGAATCCCAAATAGTGACCTAAATCGGCGATATGTCAACCCAATACTGAATTAACCCAATTAACCCAATGAATTGATTCGGTGTTGTGTTTCCAAAACTATGAACGCAATAACTGCTTGCAAATACTAAAGTGTGACATCCATCGGTTTAGTTAATCAATGTTTTAAGATTTGTTCGTGGATTCCGCTGACAATGGTTAAGTCCTTGCTTTTGAATTCCGCAAGTGCATATGCAAAATGAGTAATAAACAAATTTCTGAATTTTTTTACAGTTTGCGAATTCCGCTTACATATTTTGCGGGTTCCACTTATATTTGCGGATTCCACTTACATTTTGCTGAATCCACTTACAGTTGCGGAATCCAGAACAACTAGTTATATTTGCTTGTTGCGGAATCCACAAAAAATTAAATGTGCCAAAAAAATTTACGTTACAAGTATATGTACGCGGAATCCACGTAAATTTGGATTCCGCGTAAATACTTGTCTCTGGAATCCAGGAACATACAGACACAAAATTGTGCGCCTATCCAGTGAACAGTTTGGCCTCGTAATAAAGAATTTTTCACCGAAGTAATCTTTTCCAGGAAATATTAACATATTATTTTAAAAAACTCCTAGCAAGCTTCGTCTAATTTATAATTTCATATTTTTGTTCCGACTTTTGTAACGAAAGTAACGGAATATTTATGCTCGGGGTGGGTTTTTTTTCTCCAGACAAATTTTGACTTTTTAACTAGCCATTTTTGACGGAGTTAGTTTACATCATTCGAAAAGTATTGTTGCCTTGAGCTTAAACTTGAAAAGATACTTCACCTGTGATTGTTTTTTGTAAAGTTATGGTGGTTTAAAGATTGCCTTTTTGGCCCATTTGGGTCAATTAACGCGCGATATATTTCGCGCTGTTAACGCGTAAGCGGAGATTTAATCCGCATAAGAAATCTTTCCGAATTGGTTGAATTGACGTCTTACTAAGAGCGAAATTTATTACTTTGTACTTTATATGGCGTATGGGGGGATGATTTTCACAAAAAGTTTCAAATAAAAAAAACGTTTTTTTCATTTTTATTGTATTTAATTTTTTCATGCTATTACTGCTCCATAGACCTTAAAAGGTAGTTGGAACATTCAGGGCTTCGCCCTGATACGAGCAGTCTTGTTTCACACGTAACCTATTAACCAAGTTAAATCCAAAAAATTAGCGATAATAAATGAGAGCTAGAGCTGCGAAAGTTGCCAATTAGGCTAAATAAACGCGATAAAATTCATGCGATTTAATGCGGCTCAGAAATCATTCAATACAGAATCGATTAAGGCAAGCTAATTTGTTTGTTACAATATTTAACTTATTTTTTCAACTTTTTTTTTATTTTTTCAAGCCTTCTTTAATTTTTAAGTCATTTGACAAATCATTTTAAAGCAGTTTTACTTCTTTGGACAGTGTCCTAATAACTTTGAATATTATTTTTCGTATCTGGAGAGAATGAGATGAAAGTTTTCTTCATCATTTCAGAGTTTTTTTCTAATTTTGATTTCAAGTGAAAGGAGTAAAGTTATTTTTGAAGAAACTGAGATTTCGACTGCTATTTTAAACGGAGTCATTTTTAAAGGAGTAAAGTGCTATTTTAAAGGAGTAAAGTTACTTTTGAAGAAACTGAGATTTCGACTGATATTTCGAATGCTTAGCCCCGTTTTTCGCTCTCCGCGCAAAATGTTGAAAAATGTTTTTTTTTAACTAAACCAAAAATTTTTTAAATTAAATAATTGCTGTCAAAGTAACCATTTAAATTTGTTAAATTGAAAATATACGTGACAAAACTGCATGGAAAAAAGCTTAAAGCAAAACTAAAGCAGTAAAAACTTTTTCCGTGTAGTAGATTTGAATGACAGTTGCAACTTTAAGTTTTCATCCAGAAAAATTATTTGCTTTAATCAAAAAATCTTATCATTGCTTCAAAAAAAGGCGCTAATATTTGAGTGTACGGACAAACTCATTGCTAAGTTATGTCGACTTGATTTTTCGGGTCAAATAAGTTGCTTTTCAGGACTCTTCCAAGACCTCTAGTTTTTGACAAAAATTGACTTTTTTCGACGCGGCATCTCACTCAAAATTAGGACATGTTGGCGCTATAGGCACCTTTAGAAAAATTTTCGGGTCGGCTGATCAAAAATCAAAGTCCAATAAAAAGTATTAGAAGGGGACACTATTGGTGGATAGTGGGTCGAATTCCTGAGAGTTGAGGGCTAAATCCGACTCTGCTTCTTTTATTATTTTAAAATTAGTCAAACAATTTTATACCGAGAAAGAAATGATAATATTAAATTGAAATATATGACAAAAGGCACAGATTAGATGAAGATTTGTTTCTACCAGCCCAATTTAGATTTTGGCTTGCTGTATGGTTCACTAATATACACAGTGTACAGCTCGGTTCCATTCAGCAGAAGTGTTTCTTGTGTGATGTTTGCGAAAGGAGACCGCCTGACGAAGGGGTAATGAGGTGTCAGTCGCTCGCAGTCGGCTTTGATCACCTTCTGCCAATTTTCGTGTCTGTGGTCTTTGAAATGTCTCTGACAGTAAAAAGGGTGGTTGTAATGGATCTTAAAATAAATGGCAGGGTCATGAGGAAAATACAACCACAGGGGTCCAAAAGGTCTTCGATGGAATGGGAAGTAGGCACTTTTCGGCCAATAGATACGCTCCACGTCACTTCTGTGAGCGAGTCTTATCTGGTCACCTTCTTCTATGTAAGTTTCGACGTCCAGAAAAGGCCAGTTCCACACACGGTTGACAGTTGGCTCAGAATCAGTGAAGAACAATTTGATCACTCTCCCCATCTGGTACTTGTTCATGTATCCCTGGATGCCATAGTGGCGGTCGTCCTTGAACAGGTGAATGACCTTGGCCTTGCTGTCATTGTGGATCAAAATGTCAAGGTCATCGTCCCACGGGAGCATGTCGTGCATGACGTATGAACCTGTTAGTGAAAAAGTGTACTAGATTAGATTATAAACTTTGCTCCATTTAGAAAGCGAAAAGTTTCTTAATTTCTTTTCTGCGTCCGGGTTCCATTGCTTTAAATTTCTTTTTCTGGATCTTGAGATAATTGAAAGTTATTTGTCCGTTCCAAAGTATGTAAGCCATTGTTATATTTCACAAACAAGTTACACCTAGACTCGTTGTTGTTCTGACCATTGAAAACGGGGAGGAACTTTGTCTTCGCGTGTTTTGAATTTTTTTCTACGCAAAATCAGATACCCCATATAATCATCGAAATGGGCCGAATGACATATCATATTCCAAACTTTGGATATTTTTACTTATTCCGCCCAAAAATCATTATTTCAACATCTTGAACTGTAACTACTTTGCTTCAATCTGATTAGCTAGAATTAGCCAATCAAAATTCAGCATCATCTCAAAATGTTTTGTTCACAATTATAAGTCGACTCGTAAATAAGCCGACTTAGCCAAAGTTTTAGAATGGTTAGTTAACTACTCAAATTTATGTCGCAAATAAGGTCACCTATCTGGGAATTTTATGGTTATGGTACGTTCTTTGCACTCAAATTGAGAATTAACGAGTGTGTTTTAAAGGCTTTGAGTTAGTATTAAAAACTAGAGACAGAGAGGGAGAGAGAGAGAGAGAGAGAGAGAGAGAGGGAGAGAGAGGAGAGAGAGAGAGAGAGAGAGGGAGGGAGAGAGAGAGAGAGAGAGAGAAAGAGAGAGCAAGAATTGAGAGGGAGAGATAATTAGTGTACCTACCGTACCTATGACTCCGCCAGCACTGATGGTGTAGGAGATGTTGTTGGCCTCAAACACTGTCACTGTCAGATTCAGCAGCCGCATGTACAGGTCATAGTCTTTTTTTGACATTGCTCTTAAAACAAGCAATTACACAAGGAGCTGAACATCTTAAGGTTACTCTTAAACTTATAAAAGTGCTTTTAAATTTTTTCGTGCTCATCTAGCAAAGATATTTTTAACGACGTTTATTGCCGCAAAAACTGTCAAACTATAGTCGACCCGGGAAGACTAGATGCAAGCGGTCGACCCGGGAAGACCGCTCAAAAACCGCTCAAATCTTGCTTGAAAAACCGTTCAAAAATCACCGCAAGAAATGAGCGGGTTTTGAGCGGTTTTTTAAGCAAGATTTGAGCGGTTTGAGCGGTTTTTCCAAAAAAAACCGCCCAAACCGCTCAAACCGCTCAAATCTTGCTGAAAAACCGCTCAAACCGCTCATATCTTGAGCGGTTTTTGAGCGGGATCTCGACCCGGGTAGCCAGGAAAGAAAAATCTTGTTTTGGGATTTTTCTACATGCTGGACTCATCATTTGGAATTTTGAAGAGAGCAGCTCTGTCTGCTACTCGCCTTATTAAATCCGCGCTTATAATTATCTGAATGAGAATCATGTCTCGTCGATCCTGTGTTGCCGGCCGATAGCTCAAAAACGAGTGTTCATTTTTTGATTTCCGAGATTCCTCAATACGTCTGTAGTCAATTCAACATTGAACAGATAAATTTAAGTTTCGACCAAATTTTTTGAATAAAAATAGTGAAGTTTATTTTTGGGGAAAAATTTTAAACTAGTACGTAAATTTTCATTAATGAGAAATTTTTATGAGAATTCTCCTGTCTTATTGTGGTCAAAGGTCGAGTTTTCACCAAAACACAGAAAAAAGACACAATGAAGCATGGACACAAAGACACAATGATTTATGGTCACAATGAAGCTTTATTATAAGACTGCTTCAATAAGGATAAAGCCCTGAATGATCCGACAGCCAGTGAGGTCTACGAAATAATTTTTGATGGTATGTTTACATAGAAACTTTTAACATAGATACGGTATTTATTCATTTGCTGGACTTCAAAAAGTTTATTTTTCAATTAATAGTTTCAGATACTGGTACTGTTCTTGTACAAACCCCATATCGTAAATTGTACGGTAAATATTTTTACAAGCGACACCCCATCGCAATTAGAACAGCTAGAAACCGTCGCGAGGTAATTTTATCAAGACTTTTTGCTTAGTGAGTTAAGGTGTGGGGGTTAACTCATAGAGTAATTTCAGATAGGGTACACCGTCTGCTCGTCACGCTATCTTATTTTCGACCGGATAGATTCGTGCAACTTCTTAGTCTAATACCGATCTTAATCTTGCTCTTATATCTCTTAGTCTCAATAGATCTAGAGTATACTGATTTTGTTACGAGTCGGTCTTTTGGAGAAAGCAACTAAGTTGTTAATTAAATTCAAATTGCTCTGGTGCTGAAATTACAAGTAATTTCAGCACTTACAAATAAGTGGGTTGTTAGTTCGATGGAGTGTAATTGGTAAGTCTTTAATATTTTATAGGGATAAAATATCTAAATTATAACCAATACTAATATATAGTTTGGATCTGGTTCCATTAGTAAAATATTCCATATTGAATCCCAGACCCTCTAAAATATGGTCGTTTGCTTGCTTTGCGTTGCTAAATCAATTTTTTCTATTCTTAAATATTATGGCACAAAGCTCTGCCGCTTCTTATTATGCTACCAATAGTCGCGGACGAATAAATTTCGGTTCATACTTGTAGTTACCTAGGAAGAAGTGGACTCTCAAGACGAGGCACATTGAACGTCTCCAGCAAGTTGGGAAAATATTCCATCCCTATCAACTGGTGATAACTGGTGTCGTTTACATGACAAGTTTTGGACCCATCGGGCACGATGAAGTTCTGAAACTGAGGCCAGCTGATTACGTGATCTCTCGAGTTCTTTCTGTCCGCTTGTGAATTTTGCGTTGCAAATTGATGACATAACAGTACAAAAGTGAGAAATGCATTCAGAGATAGAACAGAAACTGCTAATTTGGAGGTACGCATGATTTATTTTAACAGGGTTAATAAAAACTGCACGGAAAAGCAGTCCGTATGTATTTGGCTTAGTTACGAATTTCTTAAGAATATTGGGAAAAATTCTTTGTTTGACAATATTTAGAAAACTGAATTGTTATTTTAGTTTCTGATATATTTTTTTATTTATTTAACTGAACAATTTTTTCAAACAATTGAGTCGCTGGTGGCAAACTTACTATGCATTAGACAAGGAACTGAATTTGCTCATAAATTTTGTTCTATACTGGCATCTATCAGAGCTAACACTAGGACAAAAACGTGTTTTCTCTTCCCTTCGGAATCTAGTATGATATCAGTTAGAAAAATTCTGGCAAACACTTTTTTCACAAACATGTTGCATGAGTGTTATTGTGCAAACAACTCTCCAGTTGTTGTTTATCAGAACGGAGCTTCAAATCTTTTAAGAGGCTGAAAATAACTACAAACTGAAAATTACAAGAAAATCAAACACCCTTTTTTATAAGCAGTGCAGCATGTGTCCTAATGACGTATAAAAACCTTACGTAGATTAAAGTTTTTGCATGGAGCTTTTCTCTCACTCTTTTTTAGCACGGTTTGGATGAAATTTGAAAGCTCTAAAAATCGCTGGAGTGAGTCATTTTCGCATGTTTATCCCATTGCAACATTACGAGGCCAAACTGTGCACTGGATAGGCGCACAATTTTGTGTCTGTATGTTCCTGGATTCCATAGACAAAACCTTTAAACATGTTCCAAAATGTCAGTGGATTCCACTTACAAAACTTCCATCGATTCCGCGTACAAATACCTGTAACGTAAATTTTGTCGGCACATTTGTTGTGCCGCGGATTCCGCAACAAGCGAATATAGCTAGTTGTTCTGGATTCCGCAACTGTAAGTGGATTCCACAAAATGCAAGTGGAATCCGCAAATGTGAGTGGAATCCGCAAAATTTGTCAGCGGAATTTAAAGGCAAGGATTTAACCATTGTCCGCGGAATCCACAAACAAATCTCAAAACATTTGTTAACTAAATCGGTGGATGTCAGCTTTTAGTATTTTACAAACACAACACCGAATAAGTTCAATTTTTGGAATCATTGGGTTGAGAGTGTATGGAAATACAACACTCAGCATATCGCCAATTTAGGTCAGTATTTGGGGTTGCGTCAATCCCAAATACTGATTTTGGAAGCTTAACGCCGAAAAACTTAAATATTTGTAGTCCATGGCTTGAGAGTGTTTGGAAACACAACGAACATCATATCGCCGAATAAGGTCAGTATTTGGGATTGCATCAGTATTTGGGATCGAACTATAGATCGAAGTAGGTCAGTAATTGGGATCGAAGTTCAGTAGGTCAGTATTTGGGATCAGTAGGTCAGTATTTGGGATCGAAGTTCAGTAGGTCAGTATTTGGGATCGAAATTGACAGGATTTGAGATCGAAGTTGGGTTAACAGGAAATGAGACCAAACGTTTCAACTGGTAGTTGATCAATGAAGTAATTGGGATTGATTTTTTTTTTGTTGATCAGTTATCAAAAGATATAATTTTAAACGCTATACTACCCATATACATTTATAAACGGAATCTGCAAACAAAATGCGGATTTCATTTACAATTTGCGGATTCCACTTACACGTTGCGGATTCTGCTTACAGTTGCGGAATCGGCAACAGCTCAATTTAACTATACATATGTCTTATTATTTGTTAGTGGATTCCACAAACTGTTCTGGATTCCGCAAGTACAGTTGCGCATTCCGCAAAATCGCCTATTTTTGGAGCGTTTTTGAGCGGTACGGTGTTTTAGGTATTTGTTTGTAGAATCCAAAACAGCGAAAGAGATCAAAGAAAAGTAGCAAAATTGCGGATTCCAACTGATTTTGGCCTGCTGCGGAATCCGTTTACAAGGCACAGAATGCACAGTTTGGCCTCGTAATGAAATTTCAAAATGTCAATTAATTTGAAATACTTTCGAATGTAAGCCATCTGTGGTCAAATCTTTCACAAAACGAAAACAATCTCTTTGGTTATGGATTGATTGCCACCAAACAACATCATATTGATCACCTCTATAGTCTCAGTAGATTATGGGAAGTTTTGGTATAATTTCACTGCCCTTAAACGTTTGTCACCTTTGATAAGAGTAATCATAATTCCCACCGTTTACACGAATCAATCCACCAACATGATCAGACTCAGATAGAAGTTATGATTTTTCGGGAATTAATTGGTCAAATGTTTATAACGGGATTTTATAATCCAGAAAAAACTGGTCAGACGGTTGGCTCATGAAATGAAATTTCTATAGATTTACAGTGTTTCAAATCAATCTTAATTTTGGATTAAAAGTGGCTATTTTTTGAAGACAGTTCAGTTTTTGCCTACGCTTGAAAAAAAAGAACTATGTTAATTATTTGTTGAATCAAAATTCAATAGAAATAAAAGGAAACCTAACTGCTGTTTCAGTTAGTTTTTTTCGTATCAACTAATCAAGGGTATTTTTTTATCGTAGTATAGTTTTCTAAAGTAGGAACTTTTTTTAATTTCTGAAAATTTGATCGGGCCATTTTTTCACACCTTCGATATCATGGTTGTATGATAGTTGAGGATATCATAAGAAAGTTAGAGTAATTCATCATCATGATTATGTTCGGAGCCCTACCTAAGCATCTAATTTTTCATTATGCACCAATGACCTTTGTAATAAATCTTCAAGGAAATTGTTTCTTGAAGTAATTTTGAATTTAAAAACTATTGGGTCTTAGCATTCAGAAAACGACAAAAATCACATTGATGATCAATTGATTGCCACCAAACTCACAGTTTGCTGTTTAAAACATCCGCGAGTTTATGAAAAAAAAACAGTAGTGTTCATAGTCTACATTTTTTGTCTACCACATTTTCTATTGTCTAGTTCCGTATAAAAATTGACGCATGTATTTCAACGAATGTTTGTTGTTATGTTTTTGATTGGAGAAAAAATATTTTTTTCTTATTTGTGAGA